CACTGCTGTAGGAGAGACTGAGGGCATCAGGGCACTGCTGTAGGAGAGACTGAGGACACTGCTGTAGGAGAGACTGAGGGCATCATGAAAAAGGAAGAGGACATTAAAAAAAATCCATGTAGTACAAAGTAAAAAGCTTGCAACTCAAGCCTGATTCAAATATTCTGAACCATCAAAGTCAACTCAGTGGGCGCCTTCAGGGTGAACCACAAACTAGAGCACACCAATGCAGACTACAGGGAAAACAGGAGGGGGTGTCTTTACACAAAGAGATGTGGGGGAGTGGAACAGACTGCTCAGCCATGTTGTTTATCTGGGCTTCTATCTGATTGTCTGGACGGTATTTCCACCTAGAAACCCAGGTCCTGCTCTGGTCCGGGACCTTTCTCACATGTTGATGTTCATAGCCATCGTGGATCAGAACACACACAACCAGACAACTGTTTGTACAAACGCAAAGATTTTATTGCAAGAGCTCAGCGAGGCGGCACGCAGGCTAGCGCCAGGAGACGAGGGATTCCGGGAGACAGGGTGTGTGTGTGTGTGTGTGTGTGTGTGCCTGCGTGTGGGAGGGGTGTGTTTGTCTCACGCTCTCCAGCTCAGAGCCCAGCGGCGGATCACAAAGCACCCGTGATGGTCAGGAATCAGGACCGAGGACCGCACGTCCACACTGTGGAGACGGCCGCAGTCTGTGACTGGAGGAGGACGTGGGAGAGCTGTCGAACGGCTCTGTGTCTGTGGGCTGCTCTCGCAGTGATGTCACCCCCGTCAAGAGAGAGAGCCATAGCACCCTACGGAAAACTGGAGATTGTCTCTGGGATTAGGATGTCTTAAGGCTCTGAATTTGTAGTCCTTATGCTTAATTAATAAAGTTGGTCGGCGGCTTTTTCCCAAGCGACTTACAGGGGCTGAAGATGCCCCCTTTATTGTTTTGTTCTTTGCATGAGTCCGGTCCCCGTGTGGCACAGCTGGAGTATTCTGGGTACAATGCTGCAAGCTGTGCCCCCACCTCGGATGTGAACCCGTGACCCTCCAGCTGGCACTCCAAAGCTCTTCCCAGAAGTCCAGGCTGCTGCCCGGCTGCCTCAGGGGTGTCAGGGGCAGGGCTGGCGCCCCGTGCTGAGAGTCTTTCTCGGGGGTCAGGGGTCAGGGGGCAGGGGGCAGGGGGGGTTCTGGAGGGGGTTACTGGGTGAATAAGATGTGGTAAACTTGGTCCTTCAGGATTCCAGCGTACGTGGTCACAGCCTTTGAAGTCTCCTCATAAGCATTCCTGAGGAAGAGGAAGAGGGGGAGAAATTCAAGCAGTCAGAGTGTCAGAGTGTCAGTGTGTCAGAGTGTCAGTCAGAGTGTCAGTGTGTCAGAGCATCAGTGTGTCAGTCAGAGTGTCAGTCAGAGTGTCAG